CTACGCTGTAGACATGTGCGAGACGTAACTTCTTGCTAGCTACCCAAAACTCTGCGTCCAGTAGGCCTCCGTCACATTAACTTAGGCGCATCCTATTTGAAATGGTCTGTTCCACACAGGACTCAAAGTCGTGGCGGCCGTTTCCTACGGAGGCGATGGACCTCCTCTCCATGGATGGTACTCTAGCCCTACAGCGCCTTTGGCCGCCACTGGTTGATGCGACTGCCCTCAGTGAACTTCTTGAAGAGCAATTGAAGAACAGGGCTGCGAACTGGCGACGAAATCAGCTCCTTCTGAGCGCCAGGCCGGGTTACGACGAGGTCTTCCTAGAAACAGCCACTCCCTGGGATGACGCCCTCGGCCAATTGCTCCTACCGATGCTTTTTGAGTTTGAGAATGACACCCAGAGTCAGGAGGTTGTTCGAATTCCGGGTCGGCGAGATTTCAGCTTTGTATCGGCTGCGGTGAAGAAGTACGTGCCTGCTGGCTATACCTTCAAGGCGTATCCTATTCAGGTACATATTAGTCCTCCAGTTTGTAAATGTTTATCTCAACAATCAGAAGTTGTCAGAGTTTCTCAGTCCAAGGGGGACAATTAAAGGTGTATTAGTCAATTTTTAGCCCATCTACTGATGGATTTCCTGTGTTATATCATGCAAAATGGAGCATTTTGAAAACGCTCCTTATTGTCTCGTCAGTCCACGTGGGCATTCGTCTCAACCTAGCTTTATCGCTGTACTAGGCTTATCTGGTCATCCAGACAGATGCTTACAGTAGAAACTGAGTGCTTCCTACTCATTTTACTTCAAATACCTTGTCTTTCCCCTAATCGCAGTAAGCGAACTCATTTTGGTATGGAATGCGATCGTTATGTATAAGGTACATTAAGCGCATGTTTGCTGTCCTCAGGGCTTACAAACTTGCCATGCGTAATATTATCCCAATATCCGTTGCCGATCTAATTCCCGCAAAATTGACTTCATGCCTTTACTGTATTATTTGGAATTGATATTCTGAAGAGAGTTAAAGTAAAACATTTTACACAATAGAAAGCCGCATTTTGCTTCTTAGGTCAATCACGTCTGGATGTCTTACATCGTTATCTTGTAGGAAACCGCTAACTTTAGGGGTTTTGCCCTCTGTAGGCACGATTGCATAAAGGGTCTCAAAATTACGAATGTAATACCGGCAGGCAGAATACGGTTATGGCTAACCATAAAGGAGGCTATGACGACCATTTATGGTTTATTTATTTGAATCGGTTAGCCTTGCAAGTCCTCAGGGTTTGAAAATACTCTAGGCTCGAAAGCGAATGCTTTTTATTGCTCAGTGTAAGCAAACCGAACGATCTAAATATGGAGCCACGGACTCCTTTTGTTGTAAAGTTTGGTCGCCTTTAATAAGGGTTTAGATGCACTCACTTATTAGGCCAATTTGTGCCATTTCGGCAAGTATATTGCCCCATTCACAGTCGAAAAGCAACTGCTTATATAGGGAAACGCCGAGGGTGTGCTGAATTGGATCACACTGATAATGCCTGATTTTGAGGGGTAAGACTAGATCCACTTTGGCATATGCGATAAGCGGTATCGTCAAAGGCAAGTTTCATTTCCAGCCTGGAATATACGCGTGCTTCTGGGAGCTCGTTTCTAAACTATTTGAAAGAAAGACATGATAGGTTGTATTGATGCAAGTAAAATGAGCCCCTAACTAAAACATGGAATAATCCGCTTTTTTGAGAACATAATTCGTACGTTACGTGACCTGTTTGGTTGGCATCAAAGGGAGCCCACAGAAGAAAATTTAAAAATTCAAACATAAAGCGGATATCAGGCACACCCCAAAAATTAAGGAAACTTCGCCAACTGTGAGAGCATATATCTGACAGTTTGGCCGTCAAAGACCACGACATTCATCCCTTCGACACGAGTTGTATTAAGCAGCGGTGACTTATGCGTAAATTTGTTTACTGCTGATAGTATTTACAACCAAATTTGTGGTTCCCCCATTCCACACTGAATGACATGGTTTACCTTAAGGGGACTGTGTATATACCGTAATGCGATATTTTGTCGTTGTTATGCCGGTTTAGATTGGGAATATTAATATTTATGGATGAATGCTCACAGATTACCTGCGCATCTCACTGCTTATGGGTGTCTACTGAATTCTGCAAGACGTTTCAGGGATAGGTGAGACCTCTAACCGATTAGTGAGCGTTCGTCCATCATTATTTATGTTTTCGAGCGAAATCGGCAAGTTAATAAGCCGGTGACCCAATAGTTCGGTTTGTGAACTAATAAACAGGTTGCGGGTTCGA